TCTCTCTCTCTCTCTCTCTCTCTCTCTCTCTCTCTCTCTCTCTCTCTTTCTCTCTCTCCTCTCCTCTCCTCTTCTCTCTCTCTCTCCCCCTCTCTCTCTCTCTTTCTCTCTCTCTCCTCTCCTCTTCTCTCTCTCTCTCTCTCTCTCTCTCTCTCTCTCTCTCGCTTCGTGGACCTGAGAAAGAAATTTATTTTCTATAAACCACTGAACTGGGGCAGTGCCGGAAATTCTCCTCACCCGGTACTCTGCAGCTTCCAAGGTGCTTCCAACCCCATTCGCGCCGCAAGGATCCCACAAGATCGGGGAAACCGAGGCTTGGGAAGGGTCGGGTGCCCTCCAAGGCAGGCTGCTTGGAAGAAACGGAGCCGGCCTGAACCCCGCGTTTGCAGGTTTCAAATAACGGCGCGTTTTAAGAGGCCTTTCTGACCTCTCAGAATTATTAGTTCGAGCCCCTGGTCCATCCTGCTCGGAAATTCGGCCTCTGATCGAGGAAGCCCTGTGGGGAAGAGGGCTGGTGATTTATTCCCTTGTCTTCCTCCTCACCGTCACTACTCCACTCTCTTTCCCCTTCTCCTCGTCTGAGTTTGCTACCATTTCTTGGTCAAAGCCCCACAGCATAGATGCAGGGAGATGAAAACTCACAATTTCTCACTCCAGAGCCTGCGTCTGCATTCACACTGCACCAGGGTTCTGGAACCTTAAGGAGCTCACAATCACCTGCGGGCTTTGTTAAAACCGGAATTCTGCGTCCCGCCCCCGGATACCTCATTCAATTGGTCTCAGCTGGGCCTGAGAATGCGCGTTTCTAACCGGTTCCCGGGGTACGTTTTGGGAAGGACTGCTCTGTGTGTTGCGTGGAAGCCCTCTAGGTTCCTTTGTTCATAACAAAAACCCTCTTTAGAGGAAAGGGCGTCGTTCTTCTCTGTGTCCCCAGCGTTTACACAAGGCTTGCACACCAGTGCCTAATAAATATTTGGGCTTCATCATGAACGCTTAGAGCTGTCACCGTGGTTTACAGATGTTTAGCGTGTGCCTGGCATTTTTCTGGGCACATTAGGAGTATCTGTTTAATGCTAGTGACAATGGTGGGAGTTAAGACCCTTATTTTGACATGGATGGTTCAGAATGGGGATGCTAGGAACCGGGAGAGGAGAGCCGGGGAAATCATGCCTGTACCCCAAGGGACAGCTGAGTCCCGCTCCACCAACCTGGGACAAACCAGCTTAAACGCACTGTTCAGGAAGACCCACCTCTCTTGGCTGGTAATGGCTGGGAAAGGGCGGAATCACCTTCGTAGAAGACCTGCACCTCCAGAGTCCCTGTACCATGGAATGTGTGCCCTCATACCCTTAAACGTTCACCTTGCAGTGCTTTTCCTTGCCGGTCCTTGGCGGGCAAACGGAGAGACCCAGCACTAAGCTTTCTATGTGGGAATCACCCCTCAACCTTTCTGAAGGATCCAGAACCTCCCTCCTGGGCTGGGGGGCCTCGGATTCTGGAGAATTCCACAACTTAGAGTCAAGAGGGATGGCCTATCCAAACAGTGGAGGTGACGTGGAGGATCTTAGCATTCCATGCACAATCCTAGCCTCACCTGGGAGAACTGCCACTCAGGTGAGGGTCTTGGGCCTGGTGCTCCAGGAGAAGGGAAGAGGGTGCCCCTGGAGAGACTGGTGCTCCCATTTTACACCCTCCAAATAAGTCTGGGACCACGCTCCTGTGTTCCAACTCCATTGAGTCCTGCGTGCAGCTTGGTGTTCCCTGGCCACATCATAAAAAGATTTACAAGACTATGTTAAACTGGCAGTAAAAACAATTAACTTTAATGGCACCTTGGGTGGGTGGCTGGGTGGGTCGGAAGGAGGGAAGGAGGGCGGGTGCTTCCTCCTCTTTGGACTGGGAATCCAGGTGAGGGAGGGGACCCGCTTTCAGGTCCCTTTTGGGTTTCTTCTATTTGCTCCTCCAGGGATCCTCCACGGGGCTCTGGAGTTCAGAGGTTCAAGGTTAAAGTGAAAAGAAAGCTGAGCATGGAGACTAAAGGAGACTTCAAGTCCCACTTGACAGTTCCTGGCTAAGTGATCCTAAACAAGCCTCTTAACCTCTCTGAGACTCAGTTTGCTCATCTATGCAATGGGAATTTGTAAAAATAAAAATAAAATAAAAAAGCCTCCTCTGTCAGGGTTGTGAAGATTGCAAGTGACAGCAATTTGGAAGTACCTCCCACCATGCCTGGCGTGTATGTCTGTGTGTTTGTGTGTATGGATATACATAAAGCATTGTGTGTGTGTGTGTGTGTGTGTGTATAAGCATTTATTAAGATTGTATGTGTCTGTGTGTGTATGTTTAATAAATGTTAGTTTCTGGAGTGCTCAGGCTTTCCAGGTGTAAAATGAGGTGAAAAGACCAGGCTTTTGCAAAGGTCAGAGCCACCTTTCAGAACCCTGACTTAGCCAGCACCACTTAAATGTTGGTTTCCTGCTAAAATTGACCTGCTTGTCCAGCCAGTGACCCCGGAAGTGACCCCATGCTTGGGTAGACAGCAGCCCCAAGCTTTGAAAGTGACCTGGATTTCTGGAGCGCTGGCAAGGAAATGAGAGTGGCTAGGGGTAGGGGCAAGGTCTCTGCCTCCCGGGTCTCCTGGTCCAGTCCCGGAAAGCCCTAATTCTGCAGGTCTCCCTGGCCTGGAGACAATTAACCATCAATTGCAGAGAGACCTCTGTCTGTCTGTGTCTGTGTGTGGCCCTCTCAGCCAACCAGGACAAGGGAGGGATCCCCCACCAACCCTATGACTGCCCACGTAAGGGCACTTGCCTATTGGCCTGTTGTTCTGCTTTGGGCAATGGGTGGGGACACAGAAGAGGGAGGAAGTCATCATTTCCCCATCCTCCTCTCCCAGAGGCCAGTTCTGTATGCTGCAGAAGAGGTCGATCCTGCCTTAACCTGCACCTCTCCCTAGAACCCAGTCAGGCCCCATCCATGAGGCCCCTGGCTCTGCCCCTCTCTGGTCCAACCACCTAGGAGCCCATGGCTAGATGCACTTAAGCCTGGAATGAAGCTGCTGTCATCAGACTCAAAGAATCCATTAAACACCAGATCCTGCATCCTGCCTTCTTCCTCCATGGGTTCCCAGCAGCAACTCAGTATCAATTCCGTTCATTCTGTACCTCTCTCTCCCGGCAGATACTTTCCCCTGTCTATTTCAGTTTAAAATTAAACAAATTTTAAAAGTTGAGATAATGATGGGAGGTAAGGTGAACAGGATAAAAATGTTCGGAAGCCAGGCACAGTGGCTCACGCCTGTAATCCCAGCACTTTGGGAGGCCGAGGCAGGGGTATCACGAGGTCAGGAGTTCAAGACCATCCTGGCTAACACAGTGAAACCCCGTCTCTACTAAAAATACAAAAAAGTAGCTGGGCGTGGTGGTGGGTGCCTATAATCCCAGCTACTCAGGAGGCTGAGGCAGAGAATTGCTTGAACCCGGGAGGTGGAGGTTGCAGTGAGCCGAGATCACACCACTGTACTCCAGCCTGGGTGACAGAGCAAGACTCCATCTCAAAAAAAAAAAAAAGTTGAGAAAAGCCCAGTGATATGAACTTGGGTATAAATCCTGATTCTGCCACTTAACCTCCTGGGACCTTGGACTTACCACGTAGGCTTTCTGAGCTTAGCCAATACATCTATCTGTAAGAGGTGACTGTTGGGGCCAGCCCTATGCTCAGCCACATTGGATTCCCTTTCTGCTCAAAGGGGTGTGTGTTTGGTTTTTTGCTCTCTCTTTTTCCTATATCCCATCTCAAATGAGAGAAGTGTAGCACAGTGCTTTCAAGCAAGGGCACGGCAGACAGACTGCCTTGGTTTGAATCTGATTCTGCCACTTACTAGCCAAGCCACTTTGGACGGGTTACTTCTCTCTTTCCTCTTCTTTTTAAAAAATTATTATTATTACTATTTTGAGACAGAGTCTCACTCTGCCACCCAGGCCGGAATGCAATGGCGTGATCTTGGCTCAATGCAACCTCCACCTCCCAGGTTCAAGTGATTCTCCTGCCTCAGCCTCCTGAGTAGCTGGGACTGCAGGTGTGTGCCACCACGCCCAGCTAATTTTTGTATTTTTAGGAGAGACAGGGTTTCGCCATGTTGCCCAAGCTGGTCTCAAACTCCTGACCGCAGGTGATCCACCTGCCTCAGCCTCCCAAAGTGCTGGGATTACAGGTGTGAGCCACTGTGCCCGGCTCTTGATGACTTTTTGTACCATCAAATTAACTAGCTTTCCTTACTTCTCGAGTTCTAGTTATGAAAAAAACAATTTTTTTTTTTTAGCTGAGGCTGGAGTGCAGTAGCGCCATCTTGGCTAACTGCAACCTCTGCTTCCCACCTTCAAGTGATTCTCCTACCTCAGCTTCCCAAGTAGCAGGGATTACAGGCTCATGCCACCACAGCCAGCTAAATTTGTTTTTCTTCTTTGAGACAAGGTCTCACTCTGTCGCCCAGGGTAGAGTGCAGTGGCACAATCTCAGCTCACTGAAACCTCCATCTCCCGGCTTCAATCAAGTCTCCTGCCTCAGCCTTCTGAGTAGCTGGGACTATAGGCATGCGCCACCACGCCCAGCTAATTTTTGTATTTTTAGTAGAGACGGAGTTTTGCTATGCTGGCCAGGCTGGTCTCGAACTCCTGGCCTCAAGTGATCCACCTGCCTCGGCCTCCCAAAGTGCTGGGATTACAATAAAAAGTCTTTATTATTTAAGGCCAAAGTTGATATTTTCCTTGCAGAAAATGTATATATATGTAACTAATATACCTTTTTTACTGAGTGACCTTGATTGGAAACCCATGGTGTGGCCTCTTCAATAAGCATCTTCCGGCAGGGTTGGGGAGTAAGGCACTTTTCTCCAGACGTGCTTTTGCTCTCTGTCTCCACTGGATTCTCTGGTCAGATTTTAGGCCTGCATTCTACTCTAGCAGGAGATGCTGCCTGACTCTAAGGCCAGGTCAGAAAAGACCATTCAGCTTCCACTTGGTTCTCACAGAACACATGTTCTCTGGTGCTCAATCTCAAGAACTTCTTTCTCAGAATTTGGTCACCATGACATGAAGAATCCCAAGATGCAAGAAGAGGCCATGTGGAGGTCCTCCAATCAACTGTCCCAGCTGAGCCCCGCCTTTGAGTCATCCAGCCCCAGTTCCAGACATATGAGTAAAAGAGGCTTCAGATGGCTCAGGCTCTCAGCTATTCAAAACACGCCCAGTCATTCAAGTCTTCCCACCTGAGGCCCAGACATCGCAGAGCAGCAAGAAGCTATTCCCACTGTTTCATTCCTAAATGCCTGACCCTCAGAATTTGTGAGCATCATAAAACAGTTGTTCCTAGGCCACTAAGTTAGGGGTGGTTTGTTATAGTGCAGTAGATACCTGGTACAATGACATGCATCCATCTGAGCCTCAATTTTCCCATCTGCAAAATGTGGATATAAGGGTCTTCCAGAGGAGATCCAGGAAGTGAGTGTGCCCATATAAACACCAGATGACTGCAGCCTAAGGCCCACTGGATTCGAGAGATTATAATACAATATGCCACTCAAATAAAGTGAGGAGCACGGACTAGGCACCCTGAGATTCCCAACACCCAAATTCCCTCCTCCCTCCAGCCACTCCCAGAGAAACTCAGACCAACACTTCATCCAGATCTTATGTCCAAAAGGAATTCCCACACCCCACACCCCGCCACCACCAACTTTCCTTTCCATTCCAATCAGATAATTAATTTCCAGAAAGCAAGACTGCCAACAGCAGAAATAAATCACAACAGAGCAGGAGATGAACATTATCTAAAGTGAAACAATTTAGCAAAAATCTCTCCCCCTCCCTCACTCCGCTCCAAACCAATAACAATTCAATTATTTGGCCGTCACTCTAAATGAGGGGGCAGCTACGTGGCATCCCTGGCATGGGAAGGGGAACACTTTGGAAAAGGAGATGAAAACCAGCCAGGGGAACACACTGATTAGACAAACAGGAGGCAAAGCAGGGAGGTGCCCAGCCCTGGGATCAGGGAAAGGAAGAACAGCCAGCACCCTCATGTTCACTGGCCTAACACTTTGTTAGACATGATGCTATTACATCCATTACTATGCTTGACCTTCTGAGAAGGCCTGAGATGTTGACTGAGATAATGTAATCCATCCCTATTCAAAAGACACAGGAAGTGGTGTTCAGGAAAACATTTTTAAAATTTCATTTGAGATGGAGTCTCTGTCTCTCAGGCCAGAGTGCAGTGGCACAATCTTGGCTCACTGCAACCTCCACCTCCCAGATTCAAGTGATTCTCCTGCCTCCACCTCCCACATAGCTGGGATTACAGGCATGCACCACCATGCCAGGCTAATTTTGTATTTTTAGTACAGGTGGGATTTCACCATGTTGGCCAGACTGGTCTCGAACTCATCACCTCAAGTGATCCGTCCACCCCGGCCTCCCAAAGTACTGGGATTACAGATGTGAGCCACCACACCTGGTCCAGAAAACTTTTAGGTGTGATAAAAGGAGCTCTCAATTTGGAGCAGGAAGAAGTTGATGTGTTCATTTAACCCACGACTGTTTTGTCTTTCGTTTAGTTTTGGGGTGGGGTTTTGGTTTTGGTTTTAATTGAGACAGGGTCTTGCTGTGTCATCCAGGCTGGAGTGGCAGTGGTGCGATTACAACTCACCTCAGCCTCGACCTCCTGGGCTCCAGCGATCCTCCCACCTCAGCCTCCTGAGTAGCTGGGACTACAGGTGCGCACCACCATGCTCAGCCTAATTTTTAAATTTTAAGTAGAGGTGAGGTCTCTCTATGTTGCCTAGGCTAGTCTCAAACTCCTGGGCTCAAGCAGTTCTCCCACCTCAGTCTTCAGAAGTGCTGGGATCACAGGTATGAGCCACCATGCCCAGTCCCATGACTATTTTGAAAACCTACAAAAATGGCCATGCCTAAATACCCCGACTTGATCATTACATGTGTATGCATGTATTGAAATATCACATGTGACCCATAAATGTTTGTACACATTTGTACAAATATTATGTATCAATTAAAATGTTTAAATAAAGATACTTTTTAAACACCAGTGTGAAGCTTACATTTTACTATAAAGAGAAATATAATCAAGCACAAGCATCATAAGTAAGGGAATTCCATAGC